TTAGAAATAAAAAATTATTTGATGCAAAGTGCAAAACAAACAAATCTCACTGCACGAGATTAACTAATACTACGAAGATAGTCAACTAAGTTTGAGCTATAAAATATAGAAATGATACTATTAAAAAAAGCTCAAGTTTGCAGGAGATTTTTCAAAAATTAGATTATTTTCTTTATTTAAATGTATCGAAGAAAATATGTAAAGGAAGGAATATTTCAATATTCGAGAAAAAAATGGATTAGTAACAAGTATTGAAATTACAAGCATCTTACAAGGAATAATGCGATACATAATGTGATCAGATATTTTATTTATAAAATAAAAATAGTACATCGAAAAAGTTTCTTGTATATTTGAACAAACATCACTTAAAACAAATTTTAATAGAATGTCATAGAGTAACATACAGTTCTAATGATAGGTCATTATTACTACAAATATTTCAAAGCATTGCATACAAAAAAAGTATTCTATATGATGATATTATTCTTAGTGCTATAAGTATGATCGATTTCAATAACAATGAAGTGGATTCTTCAGAGATTATCTATGCTGATTCTGCTTAAAATATTTCTACTTGAGTGACAATGATAAAGGCCTTCACGCTTTTCGCATCAGCCAAGTTCATATTATTGTATTGAGTGACAGAAATCAAAATTTATCGAATAAGGTCTTAGGTATTACAGCAAATACTATTGATCATGGCCGTAGTGAAAATCGTTAATGCCGATCAACGAATATTTGATTTATCAGCACACACAACCGTTTCAGCCATTCTTTATTATTATCACAACCAAATATCAAGCTCGTTTTATTTATTTTTTTGTCTTTTGTTTGTTAAAAATTATTAAATAGAATTATCATTCTTATTGCACAATGAACATTATCTAAATCAATGTCGAGAGTAAGTTTTCTTGCTTTATTTAGTTCTATCTATTTCATTTATTTATTTATTTGTTTTTTTGTAATTTCAATACAAATATAATATGTCTACGGCGAGAACAAAAATTATAATATAAGAAAAATGAAAGTGAACCATCACAGCAATAAATATAATTTAATTAATTCTAAATGAAAGAATTTTGTTTTTAATCGGTTGTAACTTGTGGTGTACGAGATGTTCGTGCCCGTGTAGTAGTAGCTCCTGCATAACTTTGACTTCTGATTTTCTTTCTATATCGTTGCTGTTGAACTATAACCTCACCGTTAGCTTTTTTAATAATCGTTCGTTGAATAACTTGTCGTTCAGGTGTTGGCAATCGATGTCGTACTTGTCGATAGATAGGTTTTGGTGTTGGTAATAAAATTACTTGTCGACGAATACGAGGTTCACGTCGAGTACGTAATTGTTGGACATTAGAATCAACATTTTCAGTTATTTTTGTCGGCGTCGGTGTCCGAGGTTGCTGTTGTTGTTGTTGTTGTTGTTGTTGTTGTTGATGATGATTTTGTGGTTTTGGTTTATAGTAGTTATTAGGAATATATTGAGCAGCATAAGATGATATTAATGTTGAATGGAGATATGATTGTTGATGATATATATTTGGTAGATAGGAGCTAACGGCTGCTGCCATTGGTAATCACCTGTATATGTATGTTAGACACAAGACGACGCACGACTGTTTGAGGCTTAGTGTAGGTTATATATATCTTGTTTCATCGGTCACAAGGTTGAAAAGGAAAAAACTGGGAGAAGTGCAATAGGGCAACAACAGATTACAACAAGAAAAGAGAGGACGAATGATGATCAATTGATTGATCAATGTAAGACTGATGAACAGTGACGGCAGACGTTATATGCTCATTTTGTATGAAAAGAAAAAATGCAAAAAAGAGACGAGAGAAAAAAAAGAGAATGATTTGGTATATGCCTGATATTCCTTTCTTGCTCTCTTTCTCTCTCTCTCTCTCTCTCTGCTCATTCTTACCGCTATACGCCATGGTTATATGCACTACAAATGGAATATATGTATATATGTATGATTAGTCCTTGTCCTTCATTGAGAAGAAACCAGTAGACATTTATTTTAAAATTGTATGATAAATGCAAAACAAAACTTTCATGTACATGTAATTAGAAAATAATTGTAATAATATCTAATAAATAGCACCCATTACAAAAAATACACCAATGAGGAAAAGGATAGCCACCCATATGACAATACCTATGATATTTGATATAATGAGCATATTATTAACACTAGTAGATAATACTTGAGCTTGAGTTAATTCTTGTCTTTTTTTCATTTCTCGTATACGATAGCTATTATGCAAAGCAAAAAAAGGTGCAATCACAAAAAAAAAAGCAATTGATGAAGCCAATGCCCATAATCGATATTCTTTTATATCACCAGCTCGTAATGGTTGCACATTAACTGATGATGGTTGAGATTGGTTCTGATTATTAGACTGATTATTTTGTTTTTGTTTAGTTGGTTTAAAACGTTTATTAAATTTCTCCTTCTCAGTTAATTCAATAGCATCTTTTGTATCTTCCGATTCACTGACAATTGTACTAATTGTTGTTGGCGTTGTCATTTTTTTCGAAACACGTAGTTAGACAAATGTTTATTTTTAATATTTCTTTTATGTAAATACGTTTCGAAATGCACGTGTATGAGTAATATACAAGAGCAATAAACATATTTCGCGCCTTTTTTATATCGTTTTTTACATGACTAAACAAGCATATGTATATGTAATGACGGTCACTGTTCGATGAGCACGCACAAAAAAAAAGAAATACCTATCTTTTACATTATGTGTTTGTAAGGTCGTTGTAGAGTGTGCATGAATTGATAGGCAAAATTAATAATTTTTCATTAACTTTTTTGTTTAAATATTCTATTTTTCTAGTTATTTACAATAATTTTGTAAATGATGAGTGAAGCGACAAATAAAATTGAGAATAAAAAATTCTTCATCGTTTCATAATTTTTTCTGAACTCGAATAAAAAAATCGTTATCTTCTATCTAATTCATTTGAGAATGAATCGGTCAAGTTCATGTAATCATCAGATAATAAACGAACAATATAAAAAAAATTTCTTATAACCTTGTTGATAAAATTAGTTATGAACGGTTTTCTCATAAAGAAAAAAATGAAAGATAAATCAAAATGATTTAAATGTATTTAATATATTAAGTACAAAACAATATTTCACATCTTATTTAAGTATTCGAACATATGCTATACTACAAATATATATGTCATAATTTTAAAGAGAGTAAACTTGAGAAAATATTTTTTAATAAACGAAGTATCTCATTAAATCAAACGAGAAATGTGCAGTGAAATGAAGAAAAATTAATTTTATTTATTTAAGATTAGGGTTTTAATTAATTGTTATGATTTATTATTATGTTTATGTTATGATGTTAGATTTGATGATTAGATTATATTTTTGTTTGTTTTCGTTGTTTCGTACTGAAGATAACCGATCTCATCAGTAGGTTCCAACAGAAAACTGGCCGAAAATTCTACATTAATTATTCTTAAATAAATAAAATACATTATTCTTCTTTATTTCACTGCATATTTCTCTTTTGATTTAATGAGATATTTCGTTTATTAAATATATTTTCTCAAATTTACTCTCTTTAAAATTATGACATCTATATTTGCTGTACTTATAAATTTGAGTCTTATAAATAAGCTATACTAATTT